CGCGATCACATTCCCGCTTTGTCTCTCCCCCTCTCCGCCTTCGATCCCCTTCCGATAATTCGGCCGACGTCGTACCTACCTACTTCACGCGGTGAATCGAAAGTCGTGCCTCTGAGTCTCAAATAAACCGGTCACCCGGTGTTAACTTTCAACGGTACTTTTTGGACACCTTTCGATCGCTTGCCTAACACAGTCTTGTCGAAGGGGATAATGTATCCTTGAATATAGTACGTCGATCGGTTTTGGTAATTGTTCGGCGTATCGGACAAATAGCCGGTGTCAATATTTCGCGAATGCAACGTGTTGTGTAAGTACGTATGTCTTCACGTTGGAAGAACGTTTTCGTGGATAGTTTCGCGCTGTCTGAAATGACACGAACGATACGAATTGTCCTTGAGGGACATGTATATCGACGCAGGCTATAGGCGCGCACCTGTCGCGTCGTTTTTCACTTGGAGCGCCGTCTCGCGTAGAGTTTCCGTACCGTCCCTTCGACTGTACGTTTCCCTTTAATTTCTTCGATGCCGAAAATCGAAGGTGGCGATAATATATCCTTACTGTACGTCGATTATTGCTCGGTAACGTTCGAATACATGTATTCAGCTCGTAATTGTTCGGCGTATCGGACAAATAGCCGGTGTCGATATTTCACCAATGTAACGTATTGTACGTCTTCACGTTGGAAGAACATTTTTATGGATAGTTTCGTGCTGTCTGAAATGACGCGAACGATACGAAGAGTGTCCTCGAGGAACATGTATATCGGCGCAGGCTATAGCCGCATCTATCGCTTCGTTTTTCACTTGGAGCCTTGCGTATTCTGTCTCTCTGACTGTGTAAGTACGTTTCGCTTTAATTTCTTCCACGCCGAAAATCGAAGGTTCAACGTGGATTTGATGTATACGCCTATATGTTTGGTTTAACAAGCACGTTTCGGTTTAACATTCTGATAATGTTCGGCATGAGCTAGTGCAAGAATAACGTTCGGGAAAGAACGTGTGTACACGTACGTACGTGAGAAACGGCTGTTTTTCTTCGACGAGCCGACAGACTGGGTCGCATGCACGGGACACGTTACGCCCATAATTACGTAATCTTTCGATCCCGCCAGAATTATCACGTATAGCCGTGCAATCGATTCGATGGCCGGGCCCGATCAATTTCGCCGCCCGACAAACCGACCGAACAATAGACCGATGTAAATAAACAGAGCAGCCTGGCCGAACGTAGGAATTCTGTCGGCGTTAATAAACCATGCGTTGACAAACATTCGCGTTAAACAAACTATAAACACCGATGATCCGAAATATTCGTCATCGTCGTTGATAAACGGAGGGGAATCGGCCGCGTCTGTTTAAATAGGGTGGCGCGGCGAGCACGAAGCAATTGGCGGTGTTATGACGGAGAAAAAAATTCCGAACGACCGGAATCGATAGCTATTCCCATCGAAACCGCTATCTTTCACGCGTGCAGATATCGCGCAGCTTCAAGAACGACGACTTTCGTGTTGCGTTCGATAAAAAACGTTTATCGAAAAGAGAAGAAAATGTGAAAAAATTATATTTCACGTGATTCTGTTTTTTCAAATTTGAAATCTGGAAGATTGAAACGGCGATCCGTGTTCGGATTCGTGCATAACACCGGCGAGATTTTTATGGAATGGAGGAAATGATCGCAGGAGCAAGGGGAAGAAAGGAAGAGTTAACCTTTCTTTCTTGCTGTTTTTTTTTCTTTTTTTCTTTTTTTTTTGGTAAATCCAACAAAACGGGGGAAACGTTTTGAGAAAACGTCAACCCATTCGTCACAGGTGGACAACGTAAAATACGGCGTTAACTTCGTTCCGTTTGCCCAGAGAAAGGCAACCAGTTTTTACGCTCGATCTTCCGTGGCTCGCGTTCCAATGTAACGCGAGGATAAGAAGCAGGGAGAAGCAAAACGGGGAAGATAAAAAGGGGGAAAATAAAGAAAAGAAAGAAAAAGAAGAGCTATCCGCCGGGTTTTAATGTAACGCTCGTAATATTTGGTATGGCGTCCTATTTTTGTGCGGGGCGTTATCCGGTTAAACGCGTCGTCAATATGTCAGAAGATAGCGGAGCAGCAAGGAATTTCGTATCGAGCGTTCCAGTTCGATGACAAGCGATGACGTGTTCCTTTCCAGCTTTCGCGTCGGCTCGAATTATGCGGCACACGGATTTCTGTATATTGTACTACAGTAAGCGGTTCCGTGCTTTACATTAGCCTTTACAAACCGCGCGAGTCCCGCGCGCCGTGA